ACTTATTTCACCAATTCTGTGGGAGTCATTACAATCCCAGCAACCAGTCATAATGAACTTTATCCAGGGTTCCAGATAAGGGCTGTATCGGCGTATGTACAGATATAAAATATGCACGATACAGTAGGAAATAATTTAGAAAACGTGACAGATACGCACCACAGCAATTGTGTAGTCTTAGAATCATTTACAGACATATTAAGTATTGTTTTATTGTTTATTGACCTGTTTACACAAGAGTAGCAATGTTGTAGTGCATATATGAAATGAAACACAAGATTACTGATAAGCCAAATTCCATTCAGTACTCAAAATCTACTCTTAAGTTTTTCCAGTACTCCTATTTTGAAAAAAATAAGGAGTATGTACTCCTGATGTTGAAAAATTATCTGGAGCCCTGTTTATCTGTTTATTGTATCCCGTTTCAAAACATATATCTGACAAGCCTCTAAACAGGGTGGTAGGGTAGCCTAGTGGTTATGGTGCTCAGTAGGACCTGGGTTTGATTCCCTACATAAGTGCGAAGTGCGAAGCCCATTTCTTGTGTTCCGGCCATGATATTGCTAAAAGTGGCGTAAAACCGTTCTCGAGTAAATGCACTTCCTCTCCAGCAACAATCATCTGCCAGTCACCAAAGTTTGTGTGTTCAGTTCAAAATTAACAAACGAAACAGCATTGTTGAGAGTTTCCCTGTATCAACTCAATGCAGATGTTTACGTAACATTTGGTATCTAAACCACTTCTTCTGTCTCATGGTCTCTTTGATAGGTTATGTTTAAAAGGGCTCTTTGAGAATGAACACTACTTTCAGTGTTATTTTATCACTTCACACTCACGATCATTGTTCAAAACCATGTATATTTCACACCTTGTTGAAAGTTATCAGCAGTTTCGATAAACACTCAGTATATTTCTTAAAGTGGCTTCATGTGTTCCTGTTGATATGCCAAATACTTAATGTAGTTTCCAAAACATGACAATTATATCTATGATATGCAAAAATTTACTCAATAGAATATTTTTGTAATGTTTGTAATATGTCGCCTAACAGGTGGAGAAACACAGTCACATGTTCAGTATTTAATGGAGACTCATAAGATACCACTTTCTACATGACTAATATTATTTCATTGTTAATATGTATATATTTCATTGTAGTAATGTACATAATGTTTATAATTTTATGTAATAAAATATGAACAAATTAGCCAGTGTTTTTTCCCCTTTTTATTAGAAACTAGACTTATGAATATAATGTCAGAAAATTCAGAGAAACCATGTGCTGTCACTGCAGGATGCAGTCAGTAATGTTGACCAGCCTGTACAGGCATCCAACGTTTAATCTTATCAGTTGTTAGGGAGATGCATCCTCATCCATCACATACTATACACTGCTACACCATCTACTGTTGGGCAAATGTTTTGGTGGGACAGTGGTTGCTCGACATGCCAAAGCCTTGGGTTCAGTTCCCAATATGGGTATAGTGTGAAGACCATTGTTGGTGCCCCCTGCTGTGATATTGTTGGAATATTGCTAACAGTAGCACAAAACCATACTCACTCACATAAGACGTGTCTGTAACAAAGTATATGTTTTTTCTATGTGCTCCAGTGAGATCTATTAAGACGAAAGGTTGGTCACTATGGTAACTAGAAGAAATGACTGTCAATTGCAGGCATTTATTATTGCATTACAATTACATGGAATTGACAAATATTACTACAAACCAGGGCCTAGATTTTCGAAGCTCCCTTAGCCCTAAGATAGTCTAAGTTAATGTTAACGTATGGCACTTACGATTATCTTAGCGCGCTAAGAGAGCTTCGAAAATCTAGGCTCAGATCAATATATGGCCACTGAGCTATAGACTGATCAACAAAGAATCCCCTTGCAACCTTACAACTTACAGATATGTTTACTAAGTGATATAGTCAGTGCTAAAAAATAGCCAGGTGTTGGTGTCCGTGAGATTTGCCCCTGTAGCACTGGCCCTGATTTCTCGAAACAAACTTAAGTTTGAGTTTTTACTCAAATTTGAGAAAACGCAGGAAAAAGCATTTCCCAGAATGAACTGAAATCGATATTAAACTCAAACATTGTAGACAATTTGAGTTTGGTGGATAGATTACTTAAGTTGTTTGGGCTTTTTTATTTTAAAATTGCAATTGACTTAAAAATTCAGCCATTTCAAATTGTCAAACTCAGTTTGAAATCTGAGTAAAAACTTAAGTTTGTTTGGGCCTGGAATCCCAAACTACTGTATAAATTTGATTAACCCTTCGTCTTTTGTGATGAGCACGGGTGGCCCTGTCATCGAGGGAGTCATAATTCTCCCCGTTGAGAGTTGTGTTCCTTTGGCAGAAACCCATGCTTGTGAGTTCAAATCTTGGTTCGCCTCCATTAGGTCAAGGTTTGCCAGCACCATCTTGGGTTTCCCAAAAGAAGTTGATATCTGAGTTCTGCATCAATTTGGGCTTTCCACTCAATGAAGCATACGTTCTGTAAGGCAACTTAAATACTCCCTCTCCTGTCTTACACGTCTTTTAATGATTACTGTGAACACAGAGTATAACAGTGAGGCTATGCACTGCCAGATTGCACAATGTCCCTCAGCACTGTGTACAGTTTCTGTGCTGTTGCTCGTCCTTTCAGTGTCAACAAAATGGCTGCCTTGTCCTTCCCGCACTTGGCTCTACTTTCCGTCACAGACAACTTGTCTTGACAGGAGGTGGACCAGCACTTACAGATGTCGGCCTGAAAATACGCCAGACATGATCACAAGATGAACAAGGAGAGTTCTATGGATATACAACTTCTTTATTATCAATATGATCGGTGTAGCTACTAACACCGTTATCAAGCAACTCTCCTCGTTGTTCAGAACACCAACTTCTAAATGCCACTCAAAGAAGCTGTCAGATGCAGTTTTAGATAGGCATTTAGAATCGGGAGGAACATGAACACATGACTCTTTTTATGGGTAACTTCCCGTACTATTGTCACATTTCAGAGCTACGTCTTGCTCCTTCATCAGGTGAATGAAGTTTCAGAAGTTTTAACCTGATGGAGGAGCAAGACGTAGCTCTTGAATGTGACAAAGCATAAAAGAAGATGTTATCCACTAAACATTCATCCGACGTAACAGGGTTGGCCCCAGCAACTTGTAATGAAGCCTGATCATCTCCCGACTTTAGTGGAATTTGACCATGCTTGCAACATTGTTCTCACCATGGCTTGTGGGGCTGTTATCAATGCGTAGGATGTCCGTTCTCCATCAGAAACAAGAACTAGTGGCTTGGAGATCTCTATAGCAGAAAGGGCTTTCATCATCTGAAACATGCAACACAATTTGAATGATGATTGACTGACATAAGGGAGCTAACTCTAATGTTTTGCTACTCAGGTAGTGACAGTTTAGAATCGAGTGACAGTTGAAATGAATGGTACAGTGTGTATTGGTGGCAGTTTGTTGTTTAATATATCATATTAAACCTCAGAGTTGCCTCCCTTCAATACATAATATTGAACTCCTGGTAGGGTTCTTGACTAGGTAGGACTGCAGAATCGTGGAACCCCAGTGATTCCGTCATCTTAATGGCTGTGCAGAGTTGCCTCCCTTGAATCCACAAAACTGCTCTTATTTGATCAACGGTTTGCATGCACTGCATGAGCTACTTACTTGAGGAAAAAGAAAAACATCTAAGATAACCTTTGGGATTTGGTGCTACATACTGAAATACTGAGTTAATGAAGTCGTTTAGAGTAAATCCCAAACCCTGTCTTCATGTACTCTTCTCTTAATGTTGATTTACACATCACAGACCCACATGTCATTGCATGTATATATATTCTATCATATATACTATTCACACTTTGCTAAGGATCAAATCATGGATTCAACAGAAAACTATGATGTGGGGTCAAATTTGGTTTAAATATCTAAGCTTATTGTAAGCATGGATCCAAGGTTTCAGTATGTTATTTCACCTTGTGGATCCCATACCTGCTATTGACAGGTGTTGTTTATTTGTCAAAGACTCGTTCCATGATTTGCAAAATGGTTGATTGGTGCCATGAAAATGGTTTTTATGGTTACTCTTGTATCAGGTGCATAAGGTTAGCTTAAACTGACTATTTGTCTAATGAGAGGTTACCATATTATTATTTAGCCAGTTTTAAATGAATACAATTTCAAATTATAAATCTACGTTTAAGTAAAGTTGTGAATTTTTCTGATCCTTATCAAAGTGTGAGTAGTATATTATATAATCTACAATCATCACAGGTGTGTGAAACACACTTGTGTGACAGGAATAGACTGAGAAATATGACACGATGGCCTGCGGTACACATCCCTTACCAGTTTTCCATCAAACGTGAAATGCTGCAAGATGACGTCCTCGGAGCTGTTAGAGACGAGTCCCAGGACCATCTGTAACCCAGGACATGTAGCAATCTGTTACAGTCAATTTATAACGAATAATAACCCTACTTGACATGTCAAAAAAACAACACATGATTATTTAGAGGCTGTAATGACAGCTGCCATATTGCTGACTGTATTGTGTTGATACTCCCACACTCACTCATGCAGTAACCCATGCACTCACTCATGCACTCACATCCAACACGCATTCTGGGATCTATGTCTCTTGCCTGAGGTTTTATTACGGGTGAGTGAGTTTGGTTTTACGCCGCTTGTTGCAATATTAGATATTGTTGTCTGAGAGACTTCCCGTGGGCGTCTCGGTGGATAAGGGGAATATAAAAGGATAATATAAAATATAAAAGGATATGTGCCGTATAGGGACTCAGGTGCTGTCACAATCGTCTTCAAGGGCGAAGAAGGAGAGAGTGACAAATATGGCCGATCATGTGACCATTTGGGCACCAAAGGGAGGTAAGGGACGCTACATATGGGTGAGTGATTTTACGTCCGCCTTTTTAGAAGGGAATTTCAAGGGATTTCAAGTGTTCCACTATCATTCGCAAAAGGAAGGAGACAAGAATAATTAGCATGAGTCAGGATATGCATAAAATATCAAGTTTAGTCAGAAAATTACATGCTTCCTACAAACTGATCTTCCGTGTGGGGCAAGAATGTTGATCTGAAAGCCACCAGGAGACCATTACCTGCTTGACACTACTAGACATGAGGGATGTAAGTTTGAACTACTTCCCTCACAACATCTCCATCCACCACCACCACCACCACCACCACCACCACCACACTAAGTGAGTGTAAAACTCAATATGTGAGATGTGTTACACACTATAAGATGCTTCACTCTATGTCCACCTGTACTAAGTGTTCTAATCAAAGTGACTACAGAAACATGTAAGTGAACTAACTACAAAATCTTTATCCTACTGTTATACAGTTCAAGCCACCCTCAGTCACTCAATCTCTCACTTCCCTATCCCTACCTCACTCACTAATCCATCCTCCCTACCTCACTCAATCACTCACCTGTTGTAGGGAGGCGAGTTTGTTCTGCTCTGTCCTGATCCTTGACACTGTCACATCCAGCTCCTCCCGACCCGGTCACTCACTCACTCACCTGTTGTAGGGAGGCTGTCTGCAGTTTGTTCTGCTCCGTCCTGATCCTGGACACTGTCACATCCAGCTCCTCCCGACCAGAACCCGGACCTGGTCACTCACTCACTCACTCACTCACTCACCTGTTGTAGGGAGGCTGTCTGCAGTTTGTTCTGCTCCGTCCTGATCCTGGACACTGTCACATCCAGCTCCTCCCGGACCCGGTCCCTCACTAACTTGGGCAACAAGTCTTGAGACAAACTCTGGAAAAAGGAAAGATTAACTTCAAACTTACTGATGGAGATACAAGACACTCTGTCTGGTCACCTCATCTTTTTACACTGGACTCAAACAGGTGCCAGTGTATAGAAGGACCATACTGGGTACCCCTGCACTTACTGTATTTATGTCCTTGACCTTCTCCATCCATGAGTCAATGTTCCCTCCAGACTTGACCTCTGACACCAGCTGTGACAACCTTGACTCCAGCGCTTCTCCTTTTTCTATGGCCTGGAAGTGATCACGATAATAGTTAGTGAGTGAGTTTAGTTTTACGCCACACTCAGCAATATTCCAGCTATATGGTGGCGGTCTGTAAATAATCGAGTCTGGACCAGACAATCCAGTGATCAACAGCATGAGCATCGATCTCATCACCATAATACATATAATTGGAGACACTTGACTGTTTAATGAGCAGACATTATTCATTTTCATAATATTGTTTGAAGGTGTCTCTTGTCAAACTTCTTAAACTTACATGTTCGTATGTAGAAAATAGAATCTACATGTACAGTCGTTGTCACTCACTCTCAAACGCTTTAGCCCACAATATATAGAGGATATCATATGAGTGCCCATGTCATACTATGTTTACGACACGAGTGCCTAATTGTTGGTATTTCCAGAGCGAAAAGGCGAGGGATATACTGATGCACGAGTGTCATAAGCATAGTATGATATGGGCACAAATATAATATTCTGTTTATTTCAGAAGTTGTAAAATTGAGGAAAATTAACCCAAATCTACTTTCAAACATAGGCTGGCAACCCGCCGTTGCAGCACGTCGCAGAAGAACATGACCTCATAGCCTTGTTCATGACGTCACGTCACGATGACAAAGTGATATTTTGCCAAAGGGCATCGTGTGAAAAATATGAACCCGCGTAGGTAATAAATCAGAATATGCATAGCAATATAGATACCTGTATCTTAATAAATTGCATTACTATTTCTATGCTGATACCCAGCCCTACTGATTACACACCTGTCTGGCTACATGCCCCGTCACACATGTGGCCCTCTTGGTTTCCCTGTGCCACGCCCTTTAGGTTCACCACACAGAAGCTGTCAAGGTCGCTGGTGTTGGTCACATGACTGCAAACAGGAGACACACCACTACTTATAGGCAGACACTCAATGTCATTTACAATACATAAATAAACACTTCACCAAAGTCAGACCAATGTTTATATGGCACAGTGTTGTCTATCGAAGATGTTGTGAGGAATTGATTGAGCGTTGAGAATTCTTCAGGCACCAATCATAATTTATGGCCTTTTTTTTGTTTTTGTTTTTTGTTGTTGTTTTTTGTGGGGACAGGAGTGATGATTTTAAGGGGGGGATTGGGTTCACCCATTTACTTCTGGGGAGGCTACTCCATAAAAATCATCGTCATCCGTCCAGCCATACATTATTAATAGTACCTTAAATGCATACTTGTAAATATTTATAATATTTTTGTTTATTCTTGTGTGTACATGACTATATAAGCAGCCTGTGAAGTCAAAACTTACAACAATATATTTCATTTGTTTATGGAGTTCTAAATATAACACACAAGTCAATTCTTAAATAATCAGACACTTCCAAAAGTTTGAAAACTGAAATCTTAACAATAGCTTTCCACTGTACATTCGGACCATGTAATACAATTTGAATATTTTTAGAGGGTTCCCTACTAAAATTGCTAAGACATTAGGGTTTCCGAGTCTTGATCATAAGGGGTGTTACTATGTATGAACACTTACGTTCCACCACACAACTCAAGAGATGTCAAGGGAGATAACTCCCCACCAATCCTAATCACTTGAACAGGAGACGGATAGTCCTGAAAAAGAACAGTGAATCTTTCAGCAGATTCTTTATGTCTACTGTAGCCAGTCTTTCTTTCTTAGGTAACTGCTGTTACAGACTATGGGACATGGAAATACTAAGATAGAATTTTCAGATATTCTTTTTTGTTTTTCAAAAACTTTGTCTTGAAGAAACTATTGTGTGTACATTTTTTGTAGTGAACACAAGTTTGTTCTTGGAAGAATATAAAACAGTGCCTTTCAGAACTGCTTTTACTGTACTTTTCATTATTTAAGTGTCCATAAATAACATCTACCGATAAGAGTGCTGAAGAAGCTTTCAGACAGAAAAGAATCCCTTTGATATCAGACTGAATGAGTGTTTTATGTGAATGAAGTGACGCATCAGGCACATCATAGTAGACCACCTCCGTGGTGTAGTGGTTAGAGCGTTCGCCCGGAGTGTGGAAGGTCGCGGGTTCGATCCCCAACCGCGTCATACTAAAAGACGTTAAAATACGGTACTTGTTGGTCCCTGTCTGGCGCCCGGCATTAATGGGTACAACAAGGACTGGTCGGCTCGGAGTCAGTATAATGTGTCTGAGTGGGGTATTCATGCTTCACTGCGGCATGGTATCTCAGTGGGCTAGCACTATAAAAGCAGCTTCAGTCTGGGCTAGTACAAGCAGCCGCACATACACATACACACGCATGCACGTCGTCATATGAGCGAAATATTCTCATGCACGACGTTAAACCCAATTCCACCACCACCACCACATCATAGTAGGGCACTAGGCAGAATGTCAGTGCGGGAAATAAACCAAGGCGTTCAGCAGGACAAGTTAACACTTTACTCACTAAGTTACCCACAATTAATATGAAAAGGAGACATACCTCATCCTCCATCATTGTGAGGTCCTCCATCGCCATGGCAGCGTTCAGCTCCATCTGCAGGCGTGACACACTGTGACCTTCACCTATATGTTGTTGCACCAGACTCTCAATGGCAGCTGTTTGTTCCTGATTCACCGTGCCCTTGTGTCAAGATCGACATTATTAGATAGTAGGGGTGACTATTGACGGGGAAACAACTATTGCGATAGCGATAGTCTATTGCAACATACTATTGCGATAGCGATAGTCTATTGCAACATACTATTGCGATAGCGATAGTCTATTGCAACATACTATTGCGATAGCGATAGTCTATTGCAACATACTATTGCGATAGCGATAGTCTATTGCAACATACTATTGTGATAGTGATAGTCTATTGCAACAGACTATTGCGATAGCAACATACTATTGCGATAGCGATAGTCTATTGCAACATACTATTGCTATAGCGATAGTCTATTGCAACAGACTATTGTGATAGCGATAGTCTATTGCAACAGACTATTGTGATAGCGATAGTCTATTGCAACAGACTATTGTGATGGCAATAGTCAATTGCAACATACTATTGTGATAGCGATAGTCTATTGCAACATACTATTGTGATGGCGATAGTCTATTGCAACATACTATTGTGATGGCGATAGTCTATTGCAACAGACTATTGCGATGGCGATAGACTATTGCAACAGACTATTGTGATAGCAATAGTCTATTGCAACATACTATTGTGATAGCGATAGTCTATTGCAACATACTATTGTGATAGCGATAGTCTATTGCAACATACTATTGTGATAGCGATAGTCTATTGCAACATACTATTGTGATAGCGATAGGTCTGTTGCAACATACTATTGTGATGGCGATAGTCTATTGCAACATACTATTGTGATAGCGATAGTCTATTGCAACATACTATTGTGATAGCGATAGTCTATTGCAACATACTATTGTGATGGCGATAGTCTATTGCAACATACTATTGTGATAGCGATAGTCTATTGCAACATACTATTGTGATAGCGATAGTCTATTGCAACATACTATTGTGATGGCGATAGTCTATTGCAACATACTATTGTGATAGCGATAGTCTATTGCAACATACTATTGTGATAGCGAAAGTCTATTGCAACATATACTATTGTGATAGCGATAGTCTATTGCAACATACTATTGCGATAGCGATAGTCTATTGCAACATACTATTGTGATAGCGATAGTCTATTGCAACATACTATTGTGATGGCGATAGTCTATTGCAACATACTATTGTGATAGCGATAGTCTATTGCAACATACTATTGTGATAGCGATAGTCTACTGCAACATACTATTGTGATAGCGATAGTCTATTGCAACATACTATTGTGATAGCGATAGTCTACTGCAACACACTATTGTGATAGCGACAGTCTACTGCAACATACTATTGTGATAGCGATAGTCTATTGCAACATACTATTGTGATAGCGATAGTCTATTGCAACATACTATTGTGATAGCGATAGTCTATTGCAACAGACTATTGTGATGGCGATAGTCTATTGCAACATACTATTGTGATGGCGATAGTCTATTGCAACATACTATTGTGATAGCGATAGTCTATTGCAACATACTATTGTGATAGCGATAGTCTATTGCAACATACTATTGTGATGGCGATAGTCTATTGCAACATACTATTGTGATAGCGATAGTCTATTGCAAAATACTATTGTGATAGCGATAGTCTATTGCAACATACTATTGTGATGGCGATAGTCTATTGCAACATACTATTGTGATAGCGATAGTCTATTGCAACATACTATTGTGATGGCGATAGTCTATTGCAACATACTATTGCGATAGTGATAGTCTATTGCAACATACTATTGTGATAGCGATAGTCTATTGCAACATACTATTGTGATAGCGATAGTCTATTGCAACATACTATTGTGATAGCGATAGTCTATTGCAACATACTATTGTGATAGCGATAGTCTATTGCAACATACTATTGTGATGGCGATAGTCTATTGCAACATACTATTGTGATAGGGATAGTCTATTGCAACATACTATTGTGATAGCGATAGTCTATTGCAACATACTATTGTGATGGCGATAGTCTATTGCAACATACTATTGTGATGGCGATAGTCTATTGCAACATACTATTGTGATGGCGATAGTCTATTGCAACATACTATTGTGATAGCGATAGTCTATTGCAACATACTATTGTGATAGCGATAGTCTATTGCAACATACTATTGTGATGGCGATAGTCTATTGCAGCACATACTATTGTGATAGCGATGGTCTGTTGCAACATACTATTGTGATAGCGATAGTCTATTGCAACATACTATTGTGATAGCGATAGTCTATTGCAACATACTATTGCGATGGCGATAGTCTATTGCAACATACTATTGTGATAGCGATAGTCTATTGCAACATACTATTGTGATGGCGATAGTCTATTGCAACAGACTATTGTGATAGCGATAGTCTATTGCAACAGACTACTGTGATAGTGATAGTCTATTGCAACATACTATTGTGATAGCGATAGTCTATTGCAACAGACTATTGTGATAGCGATAGTCTATTGCAACAGACTATTGTGATAGCGATAGTCTATTGCAACATACTATTGTGATAGCGATAGTCTGTTGCAACATACTATTGTGATAGCGATGGTCTATTGCAACATACTATTGTGATGGCGATAGTCTGTTGCAACATACTATTGTGATAGCGATAGTCTATTGCAACATACTATTGTGATAGCGATGGTCTATTGCAACATACTATTGTGATGGCGATAGTCTATTGCAACATACTATTGTGATAGCGATAGTCTATTGCAACATACTATTGTGATAGCGATAGTCTGTTGCAACATACTATTGTGATGGCGATAGTCTGCTGCAACATACTATTGTGATATGCGATAGGTCTATTGCAACATACTATTGTGATAGCGATAGTCTGTTGCAACATACTATTGTGATAGTGATAGTCTATTGCAACATACTATTGTGATGGCGATGGTCTGTTGCAACATACTATTGTGATGGCGATAGTCTATTGCAACATACTATTGTGATAGCGATGGTCTATTGCAACATACTATTGTGATGGTGATAGTCTATTGCAACATACTATTGTGATAGCGATAGTCTATTGCAACATACTATTGTGATAGTGACAGTTTATTGCAACATACTATTGTGATAGCGATAGTCTATTGCAACATACTATTGTGATAGCGATAGTCTATTGCAACATACTATTGTGATGGTGATAGTCTATTGCAACATACTATTGTGATAGCGATAGTCTATTGCAACATACTATTGTGATAGTGACAGTTTATTGCAACATACTATTGTGATAGCGATAGTCTATTGCAACATACTATTGTGATAGCGATAGTCTATTGCAACATACTATTGTGATAGCAATAGTCTATTGCAACATACTATTGTGATGGCGATAGTCTATTGCAACATACTATTGTGATAGCGATAGTCTATTGCAACATACTATTGTGATAGCGATAGTCTATTGCAACATACTATTGTGATAGCGATGGATAGTCTATTGCAACAGACTATTGTGATGGCGATAGTCTATTGCAACATACTATTGTGATGGCGATAGTCTATTGCAACATACTATTGTGATAGCGATAGTCTATTGCAACATACTATTGTGATAGCGATAGTCTATTGCAACATACTATTGTGATGGCGATAGTCTATTGCAACATACTATTGTGATGGCGATAGTCTATTGCAACATACTATTGTGATGGCGATAGTCTATTGCAACATACTATTGCGATAGCGATAGTCTATTGCAACATACTATTGTGATAGCGATAGTCTATTGCAACATACTATTGTGATAGCGATAGTCTATTGCAACATACTATTGTGATGGCGATAGTCTATTGCAACATACTATTGTGATAGCGATAGTCTATTGCAACATACTATTGTGATGGCGATAGTCTATTGCAACATACTATTGTGATAGTGATGAGTCTATTGCAACATACTATTGTGATGGCGATGGTCTATTGCAACATACTATTGTGATAGCGATAGTCTATTGCAACATACTATTGTGATGGCGATAGTCTATTGCAACATACTATTGTGATAGCGATAGTCTATTGCAACATACTATTGTGATGGCGATAGTCTATTGCAACTGCATACTATTGCGATAGGCTAGTCTATTGCAACATACTATTGTGATAGCGATAGTCTGTTGCAACATACTATTGTGATGGCGATAGTCTGTTGCAACATACTATTGTGATGGCGATGGTCTCTGTTGCAACATACTATTGTGATAGCGATAGTCTATTGCAACATACTATTGTGATAGCGATGAGTCTATTGCAACATACTATTGTGATGGCGATAGTCTATTGCAACATACTATTGTGATAGCGATAGTCTATTGCAACATACTATTGTGATAGGCGATAGTCTATTGCAACATACTATTGTGATGGCGATGATAGTCTATTGCAACATACTATTGTGATGGCGATAGTCTGTTGCAACATACTATTGTGATGGCGATAGTCTGTTGCAACATACTATTGTGATGGCGATAGTCTATTGCAACATACTATTGTGATAGCGATAGTCTATTGCAACATACTATTGTGATGGCGATAGTCTATTGCAGCATACTATTGTGATAGCGATAGTCTATTGCAACATACTATTGTGATAGCGATAGTCTATTGCAACATACTATTGTGATAGCGATAGTCTATTGCAACATACTATTGTGATAGCGATAGTCTATTGCAACATACTATTGTGATGGCGATAGTCTATTGCAACATACTATTGTGATAGCGATAGTCTATTGCAACAGACTATTGTGATAGCGATAGTCTATTGCAACAGACTACTGTGATAGTGATAGTCTATTGCAACATACTATTGTGATAGCGATAGTCTATTGCAACAGACTATTGTGATAGCGATAGTCTATTGCAACAGACTATTGTGATAGCGATAGTCTATTGCAACATACTATTGTGATGGCGATAGTCTATTGCAACATACTATTGCGATAGGGATAGTCTATTGCAACATACTATTGTGATAGCGATAGTCTATTGCAACATACTATTGTGATGGCGATAGTCTATTGCAACATACTATTGTGATGGCGATAGTCTATTGCAACATACTATTGTGATAGCGATAGTCTATTGCAACATACTATTGTGATAGCGATAGTCTATTGCAACATACTATTGTGATAGCGATAGTCTATTGCAACATACTATTGTGATGGCGATAGTCTATTGCGACATACTATTGTGATAGCGATAGTCTATTGCAACATACTATTGTGATAGCGATAGTCTATTGCAACATACTATTGTGATAGCGATAGTCTATTGCAACATACTATTGCGATAGCGATAGTCTATTGCAACATACTATTGTGATAGCGATAGTCTATTGCAACATACTATTGTGATAGCGATAGTCTATTGCAACAGACTATTGTGATAGCGATAGTCTATTGCAACAGACTACTGTGATAGTGATAGTCTATTGCAACATACTATTGTGATAGCGATAGTCTATTGCAACAGACTATTGTGATAGCGATAGTCTATTGCAACAGACTATTGTGATAGCGATAGTCTATTGCAACATACTATTGTGATAGCGATAGTCTATTGCAACATACTATTGTGATAGCGATAGTCTATTGCAACATACTATTGTGATGGCGATAGTCTATTGCAACATACTATTGTGATAGCGATAGTCTATTGCAACATACTATTGTGATAGCGATAGTCTATTGCAACATACTATTGTGATAGCGATAGTCTATTGCAACATACTATTGTGATAGCGATAGTCTATTGCAACATACTATTGTGATAGCGATAGTCTATTGCAACATACTATTGTGATAGCGATAGTCTATTGCAACATACTATTGTGATGGCGATAGTCTACTGCAACATACTATTGTGATAGCGATAGTCTATTGCAACATACTATTGTGATAGTGATAGTCTATTGCAACATACTATTGTGATAGTGATAGTCTATTGCAACATACTATTGTGATAGCGATAGTCTATTGCAACATACTATTGTGATGGCGATAGTCTATTGCAACATACTATTGTGATAGCGATAGTCTATTGCAACATACTATTGTGATGGTGATAGTCTATTGCAACATACTATTGTGATAGCGATAGTCTATTGCAACATACTATTGTGATAGTGACAGTTTATTGCAACATACTATTGTGATAGCGATAGTCTATTGCAACATACTATTGTGATAGCGATAGTCTATTGCAACATACTATTGTGATGGTGATAGTCTATTGCAACATACTATTGTGATAGCGATAGTCTATTGCAACATACTATTGTGATAGTGACAGTCTATTGCAACATACTATTGTGATAGCGATAGTCTATTGCAACATACTGTTGTGATAGCGATAGTCTATTGCAACATACTATTGTGATAGCAATAGTCTATTGCAACATACTATTGTGATGGCGATAGTCTATTGCAACATACTATTGTGATAGCGATAGTCTATTGCAACATACTATTGTGATAGCGATAGTCTATTGCAACATACTATTGTGATAGCGATAGTCTATTGCAACAGACTATTGTGATGGCGATAGTCTATTGCAACATACTATTGTGATGGCGATAGTCTATTGCAACATACTATTGTGATAGCGATAGTCTATTGCAACATACTATTGTGATAGCGATAGTCTATTGCAACATACTATTGTGATGGCGATAGTCTATTGCAACATACTATTGTGATGGCGATAGTCTATTGCAACATACTATTGTGATGGCGATAGTCTATTGCAACATACTATTGCGATAGCGATAGTCTATTGCAACAGACTATTGTGATAGCGACAGTCTATTGCAACATACTATTGTGATAGCGATAGTCTATTGCAACATACTATTGTGATAGCGATAGTCTATTGCAACATACTATTGTGATAGCAATAGTCTATTGCAACATACTATTGTGATGGCGATAGTCTATTGCAACATACTATTGTGATAGCGATAGTCTATTGCAACATACTATTGTGATAGCGATAGTCTATTGCAACAGACTATTGTGATAGCGATAGTCTATTATGACCAACTATTGCAATACTATTGCAATAGTTTTTTCTCCTTGAATTGTCTCACTTGAAGTCATTTCTCAAATGAATGTATAGTTAATATGAAATAAAAACAAGTTGCAATAGTTTCAGTCTCTTTTAATAACTGACAGGAAACTTGAAACCCTGATCAAGTAAACAGTCAAGTTTATTTAAGTTTGTTAACAGGGGCGGATAACTCTAAATCAAAGTGAACAAATCTGGTACTTCCTGTATTTTACGCCGCACATTTATCAACGGAAGTCAATTACTAAACTATCGATAGTCACACATTCTATCGTTGCATCGATAGTTTTTCGTTTCTACCATCGATTATTTTCTATCGGAGATGCAACAATTGCAATCCATCGATAGCTTCATGCATCATTACAGCCCTATGAGATAGGTTGTACTGAATGACTCTTAGCAATTTTAGTGAAACCAATGATCAATATTATTAGATTGCCAAGTCATAAACAAGGTCCTTGTGCCGAATCACTTTCACTAATTAAAGTAAAACCAGCTTGGAGAAATCCTTCAGTAAACATTCTGGCTAGATGAAACAAGAATATATAATTTACATACCATTGATGCAAAATCGAAGGAGAACTTGTTGTCCTGGACATCAGACCCGAGCTGCTTTGTGTCCCGCAACACCGTCCGCAATACTGCATGCAGGAGGTGTGTCCCTGTGTGGCTACACATGTGCCCCACCCGCCTCATCTGGTGGGGGATAGAGATAATGAGATTATAACCTGTAGATGATGGGGTTTATACCAACAACAAACAGGTAATTACCTGTAGATGATGGGGTTTACACCAACAACAAACAGGTAATTACCTGTAGATGATGGGGTTTACACCAACAACAAACAGGTAATTACCTGTAGATGATGGGGTTTACACCAACAACAAACAGGTAATTACCTGTAGATGATGGGGTTTACACCAACAACAAACAGGTAATTACCTGTAGATGATGGGGTTTACACCAACAACAAACAGGTAATTACCTGTAGATGATGGAGTTTATATCAACAACAAACAGGTAATTAGCTATAGATGATGAGGTTTACACCAACAACAAACAGGTAATTACCTGTAGATGATCGGGTTTATACCAACAACAAACAGGTAATTACCTGTAGATGATAGGGTCTACACCAACAACAAACAGGTAATTACCTGTAGATAGGGATTATGAAAACAAACACTAGGCATGTCATACCAGACATAACAAGACATTTGACTGACTGACTGAGTGAGTTTGGTTTTACGCCGCTCTTAGCAATATTCCAGCAACATCACAGCAGGGGACACCAGAAATGGGCTTCACACAATGTACCCATGTGGGGATTCGAACCCAGGTCTTCGGCGTGACGAGCCAACGCTTTGACCACTAGGCTACCCCACCGCCCCAACAAGACATTTGACGACAAAAGGTATACAACAAGCAGTTGTCACGCCAACAGTATGACAAGTTGAACACGCCAACAGTCTGTTGACCTTCTATGAATGTAATGGCGACAAAGGTTAGTGAATTTAGTGATGGACTTGGTGAAGAAACTTAAAGAAATAAAACCAAGGAAGCAAATATCTGTCACAGACTTTTTATGGAAATAATGTGCTACATGTGATATGTAAATGAAGCCAGATATCGAGTCAAGTAAGATGTACAATGTATAATGTATAACGTGAATCAACGTGCTGATAGAAAGTTTATGGGTACATTTATATGTTATGATTCACTGTTTTTACTATTGATTTATTGATACATACATGAACAAATTTTCAATATACATCGTCAATACGTTTTGCTTATTTGATCCAGTTAACCGGACGCCTCGCTATCTGGACGGTTTCTGAGTGTAACCAAAATGTCCGACTGTATATGACTGTATACGACTGCCTCACCTGGTCCAGCTCCATCCGTGCAGACTCTCCCAGAATGACCTCCCCGTCCACCACAACGCCAACGTGGACCACGTACCCAGCATGCTCCTGTACATCGAGCACCTCCAACACACCATGCTGGAACATAAGCCGCATGTCAGTACCCTTCCTGTTGCTCCTCAACTAGTTATATTCAATACCATGGGGTACTGGGAAACTACTGTAACCCTGTTAAACACGCGCATGGGGTTGTGAAGACTTATTCTAACCCAACTTGTTGGGGGACAAGTATGGGGCATACAAGAATGAAGTCTATACCCTATCAGGGCTCCAGATAAGGTTCGTATCGGCGTATGTACGGATAAAAAATATGCAAGATACGGTAGGAAATAGTTTAGAAAGCGTAGCAGATACGCACCACAGCAATGGTGTACGGTCTTAGAATCATTTACTGACATATTTATCTGAAAAAGTATTGTTTTATTGTTTATTGACCTGTTTACACAAGACTAGCAATTTTGTGGTGCATATATGAAACAAAACACAAGATTACTGATACGCCATTAATTTCCATTCTGTACTCTAAATGTACTCTTAAGGTTTTCCAGTACTCCTATATTGAATAAATACGGAGTACGTACTCCTGATCATGAAAAATTATCTGGAGCCCTGCCCTGTTCCCCATGGGAGACAAGCACAGAGAGGTGGGGACCTGTTTTAACCCTGTTCCCCAAGGGAGAGAAGCATAGTAAAGAGGGGACTCCTTCTACAAACATGGGGTACTGGTGAACTATTCCCAGCACTGCATGCACTACTAATGTTTTGTGGCATATCACGCACCAACGTTAACAGGTGAGAGTTACCTGTGTTCGGAGATAGCCAGTGTCCCCGGCCTGACCCCCAGACTCGGAGTAGAAGCAGGTTCTGTCCAGCACCACCCCACACACCTTGCCCATGGAGACACGCCCACACAGCTCCGCCCCTGTAATGATGACGACAACTGTCCCCTCTACCTCCTGGCAACCCGAGAAATCTGCAAAAGTGAGCATACAAATTTGAACAAGGTCATCAAAGCTATGGGTAAATAACTGGAGGAGAGACAGTGTAAATAGTATGTGAGGTGCAATTTATAACATTCATATTTGACTTAAAAGTGTTAATAGACCCACAATGCTTCAGTGCACATCATAGGCATCTCAAATTTGTGCCAATACATTTCTGAGTCTGCTATGTGTGTGTGACAACCAACCTACCATAGCCATGACTTGTCCGGGAGTACACCGTGTACTTGTACGTGTCATCGGTTCTGGCCACGCCCATCTCCTGGAGCTCGGCTAACTTTGGCAGGAACAGTTCCACCTGCTTCATACCTGACTGAATGATAGATGATAAAACTTTAACTGTCATACACAGAGTATCAGACATGTTTCAGTTTCAGGTTTTGTCAGACTGCCCAGAGATGTTGACAACTTTGATAAGACACCAGTGCAAGACTTACCTCACATTGGAACTCTCTGCGGTAAAATCCATCCGATTTTTCTACTTGAGTATGATTTGAACCAGAAGACTGATGGATTTTATTGGATTTTATCCTCTTCTGAAGTTGCTGATACTGTTCTGCTGCCAGCTTGAGAACATCCCTGATCTGCAACATAAGTTACCCTGATCAATCCTAATTCGATAAATATCATCTCACACTCATCCATGCTTCATCTACACAAAATACACAACAAATATAATCTAGAAAACATTACATTTCTTGTCTCTGGTGTGTTCGGGCAAGAAATAGAATGTGAAACCTTTGTGAAGGCAGTTGAAAAAGTATCTGAAAGTACGATAGTTTCCTATGATCGGGGATAGTAATGTACATAGCACCATGAGCAGTCAATGTGCCTGGATATGAGCTCCATATAAGCGGACTATTACTATTATTATCAAACATTCACCATCATTACTTGGATAGCTTACATTCGTCATCTAGACTAGAGTTTCTAGGACTTCTGTCATGTTGCAAGTGTCATCCTAATGTAATTGTTTTTGATTGAAACATGCTTCTATTCACAAACAGTAATCCCACGGATAACATCCCTGTTTGGCTTGTGGACATGGTAAACCTCTTCAGGCAGACAGTCTGCAGCTTGAATCCCATCATGACATACAACATATTTTGGCTTCTACACCAGCATGCACGTCACATAGGAAGCAATAAGTCAGCAAATCTGTAGTTCTTCCTAGTTTATACAGTGAAACTATTTCAGCTACAGTTCATTTACTACTTTTTGTGAGATGTAAACATGAGACGGAAAGTATGGTGATCACACATGTGACACAGTAAGCCAATCAGGTGTGAGTCTTGTTAACGGGTTGTCTGTGCTGCATGTGTACACCAGGGTTGTCCGTGCTGCATGTGTACATCAGGGTTGTCCGTGCTGCATGTGTACATCAGCCTCGTCTTGTCATCTGTCCTGTATTGTCGTGGAGAATCAATGTTTGGTATCCCGGCCTCTTTCATTTTAATTTTCTTTATGTATGCCAGCTGAAATATTTTCCCTGTCTACTGAAATGCCCTTGTCACTGAGTACACCTGACTGACATCTGAGTACACCTGACTCACCTGACCTGTGGACGACTGACATCTGAATACACCAGACTGACATCTGAGTACACCTGACTGACATCTGAGTACATCTGACTGACATCTGAGTACACCTGACTGACATCTGAGTACACCTGACTGACATCTGAGTACACCTGACTGACATCTAAGTACACCTGACTGACATCTGAGTACACCTGACTGACATCTGAGTACATCTGACTGACATCTGAGTACACCTGACTGACATCTGAGTACACCTGACTGACATCTGAGTACACCTGACTGACATCTGAGTACACCTGACTGACACCTGACTGACACCTGAATACACCTGGCTGACACCTGAATACACCTGACTGACATCTGAGTACACCTGACTGACATCTGAGTACACCTGACTGACATCTGAGTACACCTGACTGACATCTGAGTACACCTGACTGACACCTGAGAACACCTGACTGACATCTGAGTACACCTGATTGACACCTGTCTGACTGACATCTGAGTACACCTGAGTGACACCTAAGTGACACCCAACTGACTAATGACTGACACCTGAGTGACACCTGACCGGGGACGTGACACTACACACTTTCGTCAATGGCAAAACTTACCTTAGAGGAGTTCTTGGACAACTCAGGGTAAGTCTCTCCCTGGAACAGTAAATAAGAATAAAGAAAATCAAACATGTACAACATCAAAATAAGAGGTGTTATATATAGAAGCGCAGTGATTGTTCCAGCATAGATGTGCTGGTCAGATGGGATTGTGCTAGTGGAGGGAATACTGTGACACGCTCTCCGTTTTAGCGTGAACGAGTCTCTGCTTGCAAAAAGTTCAAACTAATGCGAGTTTCATTGTGCTTGTGCATCATGAAACCGTACTGCAGTTCTAACATGGATACCCAAATCTGGCTCTCGGTTTATCCCCTTGGTGTCTAGCACCAGGTGGCATTCCATTACTTCCTGGGACTTGATCCACTGACCTTCCACCCTGGTGGCATTACTATACTAGACCATGGAGGCAGTGGTAAGCAGAGCACAAGCTCTAATCACTCCCAGAAGAGTGAGTGAGTGAGTTAATATTTAACATCACATCGGCAATATCTCAGCCATATCGTGACGAAGACAATTTATATAATACAAAATTGATAACATTGTGAAGAGTTAAACCTGTCGACAATGGACAGTAAAAATACTAGAATATCACAGATATGAACATAAAACTAGCATGTAAAACTAAAACAATGTAATTAAAGAAGACAATACAACATAAAACACGACCTATAGATCGCCAGCATCTGAAGGTAGATCACCATACTAGGAACCATGGGGACTTACATTACTTTTGCTACCTGCATGGAGCACTCCCAGAAGACAATGCCTTTACAATTATTATTCTTTAACCCTTGTTAATTAACAAAGCACAATAGTATGAAAGCAATGGGTAGTACTATTTAGATGTTCATCAACTTCAATAATGTTACTCTACACATCATGATACGTAGAGAGACTCTCACCAGTGATTCCACAACGTCCTGGGACAAATCTCCCAGAATGCCTCCACTACGTGTCTCTGCAGTTCTGAATGTAACCTCCAACTCACTAATAGCTCGGTGAATTATCAAGCGGAGTTTATGCCTGGAAATCACAATATGCTCTGTTACAAAGGGTATTTTCTAATTATTTCCATCGATCCCAATCTTACAAACCAAAACAATAACTACAAATCTCCCCTGATAACTAGTTGAGCTAGCACTTCCGTACCACCACATCACTATGCTAAATACTCACTGGCCTGGGTGGAGGGTAGCCTAGTGGTTAAAGTGCTCGCTCATCATGGCAAAGAGCCGGGTTCGATTCCATACATGGGTACAATATGTGAAGGCCATTTCTGGTGTCCCCCGCCTTGATATTGCTGGAATATTGCTAAAAGTGGCATAAAACTAAACTCACTCACTCATCCCGGATGTGCTCCCTCCTTGATATGGGGCAGCGGGGTGGTGGGGTGGCCTTGTGGTTAAAGCCTTCACTTGTCTCGCCAAAGACCCGGGTTAGATTCCCCACATGGGTACAATATGTGAAGGCCATTTCTGGTGTCCCCGGCCCCGATATTGCTGGAATATTGCTAAAAGCGGCATAAAACTAAACTCACTCACTCACCGGCCAACCCATCCCCTTAATTGTTCTTACAACAATAATCATCACGAGGAATCTCTTCTAACCCAGACCCTCTACAGCATAACTTACTGCAGTCCATCTCGGCCTGGAAGCAAACCATCCGCTATTGCTATGGACATCATCCTGGCGTGGTCAGCTATGATCCGATATGCCTGGTCAGTATGATGGGGGTCAGACTTGCCGGTCAGTCCTTGGTAGGCTGGAGCCCCAGTCAGCTGAACAACAGACCCAAATTGAAATTCGATGTAAAAGTCACGCATGAAGCACAATTTATAATTACCAATGAGCAGTAGTTTTCATACCGGTGCAGTGAAGTGTACCGTATATGACCGTCTATAAGCCGAATTTTGAGGACCAAAAAAAGCAGTCTGTAGAAGGGGGTCGTCTTATCCATGGGTTACGCTTTCGTCAAACTTTTTTCCAGGGGTAAGAAAACAACATCGTATCACTTCGCGTGAACAAACAACAGAAGACGACTTTGTCAGTATAGACGTCAAATTTGCAATTAAACATCACTAGACAAGATTATTTACCTTTGAAGTTATAAGTTGTTTTTGCTGGGCATTGTATTATTTGCAGGGATTAAGATTACCGTGCGTATTTGTCTCGTACACAAAGCCGGAAATAGCAATCACCATTTTGACACTGATTTTAAGGGTCAAGTTTGGGGGTCGTCTTATCCATGGGGTCGTCTTATAGACGGTCATATACGGTATGTTGACAGTCTAATCATAATTTCATCATCACAGCACCTGAATCGCAGATTTGTCAGTATCTGTTTACGTTACAGTACGGTACCCATTCATACAAATATCCTATTTGAACTTGTTTAAGTGAACAGTCAAAACTATTCAAGCTGACAGAATCCCATATATAATCGGCCTTGACCTACCTTCTGTATTCTCCTGAACAGAGGATGGAAAAGGTCAGTGTCATAGTTTGACCTTGACCCCTGTAACACAGCCGTCATCCTCTCCAGGCCCATACCTGTGTCAACGTGTTGCCTTGGAAGCAGCTCTAGACTTCTATCATGTTTTCTGGGGAATTAACATAAAATATTTGTCAGACCTCAAGTATCCTAGTTTTGCATCAGCAGACCACCCTGTTAAAAGTCTGTACCAAATCTATGGAGTTTTAACAGAATCAAGCCCTTGGTGTGATAAGTTTGTGTTGTTTGGTTGTTGTTTAACACCACAGTCAACAGTATTTTTACAAACCTGGAGAGGTTATGAATTCTTTGAAGAAAAGTCCTCCTTGGGGTACATATAAGCATTAAAATGTCCATTTTAAAAGCCTACGACAGTTGTAACAATATTTCAATAAAATATTTTACCAAAACCAAAAAACTCGTTATGTGTGGTGAGACCACCCCTACAGGGCCCCGTAGAGGGCCCCCTACAGCCAAGAGCAGGTAACTCTGGCTGTGTACCTCGTACCTCACTTTTCATGCTGAACGTGTCAGACAGAATGAGGGGAGGTGGGCGGCCGTACCCCAAGGAGGACTTTTCTTCAAAGAATTCATAACCTCTCCAGGTTTGTAAAATTCTTTTTCAGAAGAAGTCCTCCTTGGGGTACATATAAGCATAAGACAGACTCCCAACGATGTTGAGTCGGGAGTGGTATTCTGTCTGCCTAACATACCCCCTAGTTCAGTCGAAGGCACAGCCGAAGCCGCGACAGAGAGAGAAAGTACACTCACCTAGTCACCTGACCGCTGATGTCAATCAGGCGGGGGCGTGGCAAGGCGGGGGAAAAGGAGCCTAGCCGATAGGCTATTGGTGGAATTTATAAAGGCGGACGCAAGTCCAACCCCCCAACCATCAAAATGGGAGGGAAAGTATGGGCGAGTCCAATATATATCCCTCAGCAACCCAAACCAGCGAAGCGTGGTGCAGGGATGAACACAGTGACTGTAGCGAGTGATAATCGCTACATACGGTAAAAACCACCACCAATGTGATACCACCACCGATAAAAATTGAGGAATTTATTAACACCTACACCATGAGAAAAGCAAACGTGATTTCTAAGGCTCATTCGGCTAGAGAATCACGACACTGCCCACTGGTGAGAACTGTCTGGCCAAACCGAGCACGCTCCCGTGAGTGTTTGTCCAGCTGATAGTGGCGGATGAACGTACTCGGTCGGCTCCAGATAGCCGCTGAGCAGATCTCCTCAATGGGCAGTGCCGCGGCGTATGCTTTTGATGTCGCCACTGCCCTAATCGAATGAGCCTTTAAACCCTGAGGGATGGTTAATCCTTTGTAAGAGTAACTTTCGAACAAATGGCAGAGACAAACCACCTAGATATGGTCTGCTTGTTGGCGGAAGACCAGCCTTGCCACCGCCATAACAACAGAACAGCTGCTTATCTTTCCTGATAGCAGCCGTTCGTTGATATAAGCCTTGAGAGTCTTACGGACATCTAAGGCGTGAGCACGCGCGAAGAAGAGGTACGGACGATGGAGGCTGAGTGAAAGCTGGCAGTTCGATAGAAGCCATTATATGAAAGCGCTGCGACCTTAGGACGGTAGGAGTCTGGCAACCGAATACTGACTCTGTCTTTGTGAAAGACAGTCAGAGCAAGATCCGCTGACATCGCATGGATATCACCTACCCGCCTGCCAGGCGTTACCGCCACAAGAAAGGCAGCCTTCCAACTTAACAGCTGGAGTGAAAGAGGCGACAGATCGTGAAAGAGAGGACCGACATCCAATCAAGAGCGATTGACAAGTCCCACGGGGACTAATCCGCCCGGACAGTCGGACGGATTCTGTCCACGCCTGCTAAAAGCGCTGTCTGAGAGGGTGCTGCCCCAAGAGAGCACCGTCGGCAGGGATATGGAAGGCAGAGATTGCCGTGGAGTAGCCCGGATAGTAGGCGCGGCTAAACCGGCTTCTAACCGAGACTGCAAGAACTCCAGTACTTCAATTACAGTTGAAGAAAAGGGATCAAGAATCCCTCTGCCGACACACCAGCGCGCGCATAACAGGCCCATCTATCCTCATACTGAGCGTTTGTCCGAATCCCTCCATGCGAAGCCAGAATTGTGTCTGCAACTGGTGCAGGAATTCCTTCGCGTGGAAGCGATTCGGACAGAGGCCCAGGCCACCCACTGAATCCTGGGATTGGTGCGGCGCTCCGTTCTGGGATAGTAAGTCGGTCGAAAGGGTAATAGTACAGGAGGCTGAGCCAGAAACCTGAGTAGTACGGAAACCAGCTTTGAGCCGACCAAAGGGGTGCAAGGAGCACAAGAAGTCGAGCTGGTTGGGTGGCAAGCTGCAAGAGGACTTTGGGAATCAGGGGTAGTGGCGGGGCAGCCCACAGAACCCTGTCCGTCCAATCGAGCTGGAAGCGTCTTGGGCGATGGCTCTCGGATCCGGTATCCGAGAGCAAAACACCGGAATCTGGTTCGTCCCCCAGATGCAAACAGATCCACCTGGAGCGACCGAACAACTGGGAGATAGCCCGAATATCCCCGATGGAGCATCCACTCGTGTGGGGCCAGGATCTGACGAGAGAGTGCATCTGCTCGAGCGTTGTCCGCCCTGGGAGATAAACAGGCATTACCGGTATGTCGAACTGGTGGCACCAGAGCAGAAACTGCCATGCCTCCTGCAGAAGAGGCGGGAAACCGTGCCGCCCTGCTTCAGGATGTAGGTCATTGCCGTCTGGTTGTCCATCTCGAGACGGACCACACGGCCTTGAACCTGCTCCCGAAGTCGTTTGAACACCAACCTGACTGCTCTCAATTCTAGCACATTGATGTGCAGTTGCGCCTCGCTCTGTGACCACAGGCCTGAGACCGACAGAGCCCAGCACGCCCCCACCCTGTGAGGCGTCCGTCTGAATTGAGAGATCTGGCGATGGGATGTCCAAAGGGAGCCCCTTGGATAAATTCCCTGCCAGTGTCCACCACCGTAAATGAGGAATTAGCCACCCTGGAGTGTGGAGAATCAACTCGTAACCCTGGGTGTGGACCCACATTCGAGCTAGAGCCTGCTGAATGGGTCGCATCCTCAACCGCTTCGCCAAGCGATGTCCACCGTTGCCGCCATGTTGCCTAACAACTGGAGCCAAGTCGAGCTGAGGCCCTGGGGAACTTCGAGAAATTGTAACACAACTCTCTGGACTTTGGTGGCGGTCGGAGACAGGGAGACTATCCCTCAGCTGTCTCGAATCTGGCTCCCAAGAACACCAGATCCTGGGTGGGAACCAGTTCTGATTTCTTGAGGTTGATAATCCAGCCCAACTTGGTGAGAATACTCATCACAGCAAGTGTCGCCTTTCGACTCAAGTGAGTGGCAAGCGCCGCGAAGGAGCCAATCGTCTAGATGCGGGTGACAGCACCTGCCCTGTGACCTGGCTACCTGAGCTGGAATTAGCATGAGTTTGGTGAACACCCTTGGCTGTGGAAATGCCGAAGGGGTACCCGAAACTGATAGCACCTCCCGTCGAAGGAAAACCTTAGGTATTTCCGAACTTCGGGGTGCATAGGGACATGGAAGTCTGGCGTCTTTGAGGTCGATTGGCGTGAGCCAATCTCCCTTCTCCACAGGCGAAATCACCGAGCGCAGTGTTTCCATCTTGAAGGGCGGTACCTCTAACATGTCGTTCAGACCTTTGAGGTTTAGAATAGGTCTGAACCCTCCGTCCTTTTTGGTGACAAGGAAATAAGTTGAGTAAAACCCAACATTTCTTGTCCCACAGGAACCACCTCTATGGCTGCCTTGTCCAGCAAGCGACTGGACCTCGACCGCGAGCACTTCCGCCTTCTCTAGGGCAGCCCGGCACTGGAGTGCAACGGATCCCGGAGAAGGGGGTGGGTCTACCGCTTCCACTGTGGCATGTGGCCTTCCCTGAGTGTGGACAGGACCCAGGGATTGGGCGTGACTTTTCCCATTCCGACAGGAAGAGGAAAGTCGACCACCCACAGGGATATGTGGCAGGAGACATTGAATACCTGACTTTGGCAGTACTCCGACTGCTTGGTCTGGTACCAACAAGGGCTCGGAGGAATTATAGCTGGGAAGCGGGGCTGACTTCCCCTTCCTCTGAAAGGCTGGTGGGGCGCCGTGGCCTTGCCCTTGCCCCTGCCTCTGCCCTTACCCCTCCAGCGACTGCAAGGGCTGAGCCCATTTAACAGATTCCTTAGCCGCCCGCGGACAGAAGGATATCGCGGAGAGAGACAACCCGGGGCCTTGGCGAGGCGTGTGAGGCTGTTCCAGCAAGGGCTTAGAGTCCTTGAAGGTTGAGACAGCCTCCAGCGGCCTCCCGGACTACTGTAGCTGCCCGGGGAACAGGGTAGAACCCATCCGGAATGGCAGCGCCAGCAGAAACCTGTTGCGTGGCAGGCGAATACCTGCGCCGCGGAAAGCCACAGGCGACGGAGGCCCATCACCGCCCGACATCATTTGGCAAGCCCGGCGACCTGATAGAATGCTAGCGCCAGATGTGACTGTACCTCCGTTAATTGCTTAGCCAAGGTGGAGGCGAATCTTCCTCCACCCCACCCACATCCAGTAGTTGCCTCTGCAACACCGAGATGTAAGCGGAATGGATCGTCACTTTGAGGCATTGAACCGCATTGCGGTATTGCTCTTCAAAGGATCGATAGGCGGATTTAAAGCTGTAGCGTTAGTCGTGAGCGGCGGAAGCCGGCGACCTTGCTTGGCTGAAGCCATAGAATTACCAGCCGAACCCCCAGAGGCGGCGGATGCGTAAACACAATGTCGTCAACCACTGGGGGATTGTAGAGGCAAGCCTCCCCATGAGGTACCGGCGGTCAAGTTCTGGCAAATCGAACCTGGACCTGGTACCACAGAGGAGGGTTGATTACTTCAGACAAGACTGAGGGGGTAATATCGCGCGCCTTGTGTCCCCACCTTGGTGGGAGCAAAAGCCTCCCTGGGAGGCCGAAACTCCCTGAGGGTCGGGTGCGCCAGTACTGACCACTACCTGGGGCAGGACAGAAGCAATGCGGCTCCCGTACCTGCCTCAGGGGCGCTTGCCGGCCCGAAACCAAAGGCGTGCCCAACTCCTCCCGACCCTCATCCTCCTCCATAGCCTCCTCGAATCGATCCTCAATGAGTGAGGTCTCTGTTTCCAGAGAGAGCTCTGAGGGATCATCCGAGGGTCTACAGAGAGGACAAAGGCTCGAGCAGAGCGGGTTGCCCGACACACCCGACCCAAGACTTCGAGACTGAGTCAGCGGTGCCGTGATGAGGAAGAGCCCGTGCTGGGATTCCTCAATGGTAGACAAAATGATCCAGACACCGAATGGCCCGGCCAAGCCCGGCATGGCGGTGGGACCAATTGCAGTAGCGGCAAACTACAGGGACTGCCAAACTACTAACTACTGGACCAGACCCGAGCCAAGGCTCGGGCCGGTAAATAGTTACTACAGCGGAGGGTGGCCAGCAACCGAGGCGAAACTTCGGAGCCGGCGCACCCCGACAGAAACCCCCACACCAGAGCCTAAGCTGAGGTTGGGAGCACTGCCGCCATAGACCCGGCACACACACCCGTTACCTGGTGGGACACCAATCTCCTGGCGGAGGCCAGCCATCAGCGTCAGCCACGAGAGTGTGACCCGAATCCATCTGCTTCTGCAATATATCAGAAAGTAAATCAATTGTTAGCTGGTTAGAAACAGGGACAGGAGGGGAAGGTGCCTGTGATGTTGAGGGGATGGCAGGTGAAAGGAGCGGAGGCCCGTACCCTTTCGCCCGTTTAGGAGCATCCCGAAGAGAGGAAGCGAAGCCTTCTTTTTCTTTGTTTTATCTTTGTCTTTAGGCTCCTGACCCCAAATGTCCCCGCCTGAAGTAAGGGCGTGTAGAACATGTAATCAGCACGTCTGGACTTGATGGTGCGGGGAAGAAAGCCTGACACATAGAACAACCTTGTTGCGTCATGGGCTTCCTCCGGCTAAACAACGTAAGCAAACCAGGTGGCGATCCTGAGGCGACAAACTGCGCTACAGGTGACACACCCTTGGGCTGCAAAACAGAACCACGCTATGATAATAGCAAGGACTGTCGATATACATAATATAATATGCACACAACAAAACAGAACAAAATACAGCGCCCGGCGATATTTTAACTGTTACAGCAAAGCTATTAAATACTAAGCGTAAAGCCATAATAGCGGCGTAATTAAATACATAGGTGACAAAGAGCAACATGTGTGGCGACCGTAAGCGGCGTCCGCGAAAACACTCAAGCAAAACTTACCTAAAGCCTGGAAAAAAGAGGAATTTAGGCAAGTATAATCTACAAAATGAAATATCAGCCCTTTCACAACCCGACTACAAGGCTTTTTCTAAAGCCAGGAGAAGGAAAGCAAGCGGGACCAGCGGTCCGCCATCTTGCCTGCCACGTGGCTGGAGACAGCGAACAACGCCCGATAAAGTTACAACAAATCATGAATGAAAAAAGTCATACAAAGATTCCAGCTAAGCCCGAGCGAAAAAAGGAACCATACATACAGGATTTGACTCTATCTCACTCATCGGCTCTCTTATTAAGTAGCTTCTTGGACCATGCAATGCGACCTACGGCCCGTGACAGCATGAAAAGTGAGGTCACGAGGTACACAGCCAGAGTTACCTGCTCTTGGCTGTAGGGGGACCCTCACGGGGCCCTGTAGGGGAATGGTCTCACCACACATAGCGAGTTTTTGTTTGGTAAAATATTTTATTGAAATATTGTTACAACTGTCGTAGGCTTTTAAAATGGACATTTTAATGCTTATATGTACCCCAAGGAGGACTTCTTCTGAAAAAGAATCCATTCAGCATCAGTATACCATATTTGGTGTCATTAGACACCTGGGAATCTATTAGTTTCAGTGGCAGTAGGGTAGCCTGTAGGGGTGGGCAATAATACCGGCTTACCGGTATATTGCAATTCGAACTTCACAATACGATATATTGAGGATTACTTTTCGTGAACCGGTTCACCCGATACGATCAGCAATTTCCTCGACCATGATCGTTAATTTGCGTGATGTAGTCAAAACTACTAATAACATTTGTCTTTCCTTTATATTATTATACATTAATAGTTTTGAGAATGTTTATTGGTCATATAATTGCATTTGCATGACTTTTGAACCATATAAATAAAAAGATAGTTTGGCACCGGCACTCGTTGTAGGGATAAACAAACCAAAATGGCGGACGCTGCTGAAGACGCTTTTTCTCGAGTTCAAAGCTTTAGAGCGAAGTCTTAGGAAACATTTTCCAATCATAACTGGGTGCTGACAATGGCCAGTGGCATTGTTCCAAGAAAACAGTAATTTCATTACCTTAACCCACGTGTTACACTTTCACAATATATTGAAATACATATTGCATCACGCCAACACATATCACAATATATCGCAATACGAACATTTTGGCAATACCCAACCCTAGTAGCCTGGTAGTTAAGGCATTTGCTCTTCACTCTGAAGACCCAGGTTCGATTCCCCACATTGTGAAGTCGCCACATTCTGGTGTGCCCTGCCATGATATCACTGGCATATTGCTACATATGGCCTGAAACCATCCTCACCCACTTACTATTTGTTTAACATAAGCCAATGACCCAGTTTCTGTTATAGGTCTGTTTTCTGTTCTTTCAATGCTGCGGCAGTGGGGTAGCCTAATGGTTAAAGCGTTGGCTCGTCACGTTGAAGACGTTCGAATCCCCACATGGGCACAATGTGTGAAGCCCATTTCTGGTGTCCCCCGCCGTGATGTTGCTGGAATATTGCTAAAAGCGGCGTAAAACTAAACTCAGTCAGTCAGTCAGTCTTTCAATGCTGACACAATGGAAACTCACTCTCTTACCCAATTCCAAATTCTCATACAAAGGGTAAATTTGCAAGAAAGGTGAAATCAATAAATGAAAGGTGAAATCAATATATGCTGCAAGTTAATGAGATGCAGAAAATTAATTTCATTCTACATTTCACAACATGTATTTGTATTTGTTATTTACCACCCCTTTCTGCAATTTTCCAGCTACATACAAGTGGAAGAAGAAGAATTGGTGTCTGGACCAGACAGACCAGTGATTGATATTATGAAACACACATGGTACTAAATCATGACTGACTGATTGGCTAAGTTTGGTTTTACGCTGCTTTTAGCAATATTCCAGCAACATCACGGCGGGGGACACCAGAAATGGGCTTCACAGATTGTGCCCATGTGGGGATTCGAACCCGGGTCTTCAACGTGACGAGTCAACGCTTTAACCATTAGGCTACCCCACAGCCCACTTAATCATGAAGTCTGACCAGGTGATTTATCAAGTCGCCCCTTGCGATAAGCAGAGGTTACAGGTGACTGATTCCGAGGGGTTCTGCAGTTAGTTCCACAATGTGTAAATAACGTCCCCTTACCCCAGTGTCAGCCATATATCCCGGCACTCCACATCTGGCGCAAGTCCAAACTGCTCAGATCCTCCGAAGTAGGTGAAATAGAGTCGGTCTAACGGAAGGTTGTACACTCGCGTCAACAACTCCAGCGCCATCTGGCAGGATTCTTGCTGCAAATAACACAATCAAATAGGCACACAATCAAATAGGCACAAATAATCAAAAAAGCACACACAATCAAATAGGCACACACAATCAAATAAGCACAAATAATCAAATAGGCACACATAATCAAATAAGCACACATAATCAAATAAGCACAAATAATCAAATAAGCACACAATCGAATAGGCACACATAATCAAATTGTCACACAATCAAATAGGCACACATAAGCCAATGAAAAGTATGGTCTTTGAGTTTGATCTGAGGTTAAAAGAATACAAAACAAAAACAATAACTGTGAGGACTCATCATCGAGGTTTGATGAGGTTTTAACCGATATTACAGCTGTAACAATAACCGATATTACAGCTGTATCAATAACCAATATTACAGCTGTATCAAGGACAGTGAGTGAATATGGTTTTACGCCGCTTTTAGCAATGGTCCAGCAACACCGTAGCGGGGAACACCAGAAATAGGCATCACACACTGTACCCATGTGGGGAATAGAACCGGGGTCTTTGGCGAGACGAGCGAAGGCTTTAACCACAAGGCCACCCCACAACCCCGCTGCCCCATATCAAGGAGGGAGCACATCCGGGATGAGGGAGTGAGCTTAGTTTTATGCCCCTTTTAGCAATGTTCCAGCAATATCACAGTGGGGGACACCAGAAATGGGCTTCACACATTGTACCCATGTGGGGAATCAAACTCCGGTCTTTGGCGTGACGAGCGAACACTTTAACCACTAGACTACCCCACCGCCCCGCTGCCCCAAAGCCCAGATTCAGTGAAGATGTTGTGCTATTGAGTAAATGGCTCTTTGTTTGTTTGTTTGCTTGTTTGTTTGTTTAATGTCACATTCTGCAGTCTGTAAAAAATATTGCGATACTGATCATTTGAAAAGTCTACATAGAGATTATTAACCGAGTGAGTTTCTGTATCATTTTTATCATATATTAGGAATAAAAATTGTATTATGCGAGCCTTTGGCGAGCATAATACATAATTTTTATTCCTAATATATGATATTAATGACATGGAAACACACGAGGTTAATAATCTCTTTATCATAATGTCATTCTTAAAATCACTCTAAAAAAAGAAGCAAATCGTACGTGAATATATATGAAGAGAATCGAGCATTCACATAAGAATACTTAGCGGTACACCAAGGTGAAGGTCGTTCATGATGGCGTTTAGTTGTGACTAGTCGCTAATACAGTGCAAACATAACTCATGCTTAAAATAAGATCTTTCTGTCTAAAAAGAACAATAAAATCTGGCAGGGTTTTCCTGCCAGTGTTTCTATTTTCATTGCGGGTAATCACCTCATCAATATCCGTTTCTGATACCTGTCAGTATTGTGATCCATAGATCGAAATCCTTGGTTGGTACCTTTCTTAGACGATCGCCTTTCACTCGTGCCTCATAATCCATACCTTAAATTTGGCCGAAGTATTATAGGCATGAGATTATGGTCTTTATTACAATAAGAGATATACAATTAACATTATTAATGACAGGGGATTAAGGGGGCAGAAGATACAAATTGTGAGAGTTTTAATAAAATATTTAAGATATGAAGTGATTGGTAACGTTGTAAGGTGGGAGGTAAGGTAGAAAGTCAGTAACGTAGGTAATGAATTTGAAAGTAGGTCGCTGGAGCTGGTGAGTGCAGGGTGAAGTGAGTCATAGCTTAGATAGAGGAAAAAACTACTATACTATCAAGATGGAGCGACGTGGCCGGGGACCTGGCCGGGGACCTGGCCACCAGTTCCTGGTACTCTACGAGACATATATGGTTAGGGGAAAGAGACCCTGAGATTCCTGGAATCCACCTCACGGTCATACAAATATGGTAGTGGGGATACGAAATAGAGGTGGGGGAGAGAAATAGATAGTCAAATTATGGGTTATTGACCAATAGAAAAAATGAAAAGGGTGTTGGCTGTGACGTAGGAACCCAGGTTTAAGCGGGAGCAAAGCTCAGAAACGGAGTCTGGTGCGGGCCTGCTCTTGCTGTTGGTCACTAGGAACCGTTTGAGAAATTATCTTGAAGCACCAGCATTTTGGCTTAAGACTGAAGCTTTGCGGCTGAAGTCTTATAGAGTGACCATAGAGTAGGTTGGCCAGCAACACAGTGTCAATAAAAACCATTGAACGAAGATCAGCGTCTTGTGTTTGCTGGATGAACTACGGTAAAGTTCCAAGGGCCCCCGGGTACTGACACTGTACCTCTCGCACATCCCCTATCGTCAGGACCGAAGTACGGGGGTATACCGTAGTTCAGGTAACGACACACCATCCCAGGTACGGGATACCGACAGGTAAAATACCATCTACCTGACAGGTAAAGGTGCTAGTCGGAACGCCTTGGAAAGAAGTACTCTGTTTCATGTTTTTCAAAGTCTATTACTGCAGTAACAACTCCTGAATCTCTGTCATCAATTCTTACAGAATCACCAAGTTTGAGAATGGGGGCAGCTATGTTTGTTTTCAAACTCGTCCGTGCATTGTAAACTTGCGACGACGTCACCGATGAAATGTTAAACATTTTAGGATTCGCATGGCGTGTATGGAGCGTATACCAAGTTTATCAGATTGCTTTATTGCACCGTTAACACCCTTGATTAGATGATAATGTGTTTTACCGTTAATACCATGCAGTACTAACAAATAAACCTATAGGTCACTTCATTCTGCTGTTAATACCTTGAAATAATCGCCAAATGACCAGCTTCCAAGCATCTCGAAGAAGGTGTGGTGGGTGAGGTCATGACCCACATCCTCAAGGTCGTTGTGCTTGCCCCCGACGCGGATGCACTTCTGTGAGTTGACAGCGCGGTGAAGGCCCTCAAGTCGACTCCCTGGCTGCGCGACACCAAGGAATAGTGGCTTGAACTGAAACAGCACCCGGTCTTACTCGTCTTGGAAAAACATGGCTGCTCCTTGACTAGTAGGGAATCAAACCGTTGTTGTGACACGTTTGTTTGTTTGTTGTTTAACACCTGAGGCAGCAATATTCAAGCTATATGACGGCGGTGTGTAAATAACCGTGTCTGGACCAGACAATCCAGTGATCAACAAGAGCATTGATCTACGCAATTGGGATACGATGACCACCGATGTCAACCAAGTCAGCGAGCCTGACCACCCAATCCCATTAGTCGCCTCTTACGACAGGTGATGCAACTCTTTCTGGTGATGCGACTGATCCACTGTTTACTTTTAATTAAAATGTATTATCAAAGCTGGAAGCAGTGGCCAAGAAATCTAAGAGCAATGATTTTATATTTACAAAAAATGACAAGCAATATTGCAATTAACATTAGTCCTAAAACAGCATCTGGTATCTGCATGTGGTATGATGACACTGTTAACCTTCAAGCTCATATGCAACGCAAAACACACCTTTTTGGTATGGACTTACAGTAACAAATTATCAAAAATCATTTATTCATGACATACAATACACATTGCTGATTATGAAAAAACAAATAAACAAAATTATAAGTGTACAATCGCAAATCAAAAGTGCGATATTTTGTACTTGGGTTTACTTCCCTCGAAACGAAGCACCCATGATACCGAACCCAGTCAGAGCGCTATGTGCTATGAGCTCAGCACAGCTGTAAAAAAACACTTTTCAGCCCAACTGGGGTTATTTGGGTGAATCGTTTGAACTCCGATTTCACGGGAGGGTTTTCATCGCATTATTTTTCAACTTTATAAGTTGAATTTGCATAATTGTGTTTTAATTATGTTTATTTTTTTGGTTGCATCTAAGCTTTAAGTGTTTTTGCTGTCTGGTCCCTGTTATAGGGTGTGCATGAATACCTGTATCATGCCAGCATTGGTGAAGTATGTTCCTTGTTTCTTGTTGGGGACGACTGAGGATGAGGGGATATGGATGTGGTCATGCTGGTCGCGGAAGTAGGAGATGAAGGCGCCACGGACGTTGCTGCTGCTCCAGGAACTGCTGTACCGCCATGACAGGTGAAGTCGTGGCTTTCGGAGATAAAGTCTCAAGACAATCCTTGGGTACATCTTGTACAGTTGAGTAGACATTCTGAAACAATTGCATAATACAAAGTGTAAAAGACAAACAAGGTTTTACTCTACACAAAATAATTTGGGTTTTACGTCAATATATTTTTGCATTATCATCTTTATGTAGACATAAACGTAAAAACCAGTGTGCAGTTTAAATACGTGTTGCTAATTAATGCAAAGTATGCACAATGGTTTTAACATGCATAACACTATATAGTATAATAATAATCACATATTACAATCAGCTTTTTTCACATGTAATATGTCAACAATATGTCAACCCCACAAATGTTTAGGTTAATTATTAACACAAAACAGTGTAAACAACATGTGATATTTGGGATGATACTTTATCAATAGAGTACCGAACCTAGTGCTTTTTTATGTTGTTAAAAACATTAGTGTCCGACATGCCGTTTATAACGCCGCATGCAGCAATGTTCCAGCAGTCTGTAAATAATCGAGTCTGGACCTGACAATCCAGTGATCAACATCATGAGCATCGATCTACGCAATTAAGATACAATGACATGAGCCTGGCCACCCGATCCCGTTAGTTACCTCTTACGACAAGCAACGTGAAGCATGGGTTGGGTTGCTGAAGAACAATTCTAACTTCTTGAACTTCCAGCGAAGTTGTCATTGTCATGTCATTTTCCGCAGGTCCAGGTGTTGTTTTCACCTAAAGTCGTTTTCACGAGCCGTCAGTTTAGCTAAAACATAAATGTGGTCTGCGCCCATCAAAGCGTAAACTTTATGTCTAAAATGTTGTACTTGTAGTTTGTCAGGAAGATCTACGGCCCAGGGCAATTATAGATGCATGCTTGAAACACATTAGCGTGACTGTCATGTTCTACTGTATCACCAAAATCATTCTTACCAATACCTTTCTAGAGAAGTATATTTGACATTGACATGTCTTCCATGGGCGCAGCCATATTGGAAATATTAACATACGGACAATTTCTATATTTTCTCACATATTCACAGTATCGCAATTCAGATTGGGATTTTAAAACAATTCAATACTGTTACATAACCAATATCATATAAACATCAGTAATGGCGCGCGTGTTTCTTTTGAGTTTGAATAAGGATATTTGATATGGAATTTTGCTCCGGTTAAGGTACAATCCGAAAATATCCTGATGTCAAAGGGAGGTAAGCACCTCGTCATCACTACCTTCAGTACAACATTAATAACAAATAGTGTAGGGCATCACTTGCATCCTTTCGTCATCTACAGGCTACATTCGCTTTGTCGCGTAAAGGCATGAGTTGGTAGTGAAAGAACTCAGTTTTGAAAGCAGATTTCAGACTGTTAATTACTCCCTCCTTTTCATAAATGATTGTTAAAGGTCACATGCAATCAAAACATCAAACATAATTAAAACACAATTACCACTTATTCATGACAAATAATATACATTGCTGATTATGAAAAAAACATATAAACAAAATTATAAGCATACAATCGCAAATCAAAAGTGCAATATTTTGTACTTGGGTTTACTTCCCTCGAAACGAAGCACCCGGGATACCGAACCCAGTCAGAGCGGGTGGGTGTGCACACAAGTGTAACGAAGTCTTTTATTGGCTGGTTCTTTTGCCGATGCCCTCGCGGCTCATTGTGTGTATAATAGAGATGATGGGTTTTGTAAATGCATGCTCATTTTTTGTGTATAACATTTTGCAATCAACAAACTTCATAACATGTCATGTGTACAAGTATCACACCTGCCTGTCTGTGTAATTACATAATGTGACAGAGACGGAACTTGGGCCATAAATCAATGCGTTTTGTTTATGGTGTATAGCCTGATAGGTGTTAAGTTCAAATTGCATGTGGTCAGTGATCGAAGTTGTGTATTGAATATTGTCATTAGCAGACAGGCAGGCAGACATATCGGTGCCAATAAAACAGACATTGAGTTTTGTCTGTGACAACGACATTTTTATATCACAGTTAGAAATTGTGTCAATGCTAAATAATGACATTGCTTTTAAGTATCGAACTGAGAAAGTGACGCGGTAAGAAGAACGTGTGGTGAAATAGACAAATGAAATTATATAAACAGTTAAATCGGTAATCTACTGTCATAACATATATAAAGCTCGCGCCTGTGAAATATCAACAAAACATTAGAAAAATAGCTCACATCAAAGCCTTCACCGAGTATTCACCGCCAGCGAAGGTTTTCCGTCTTGAAATGTCGAACGCCTCACTGGTTGACTCATAGCTGAGTAAATCTAGATCCTAACAAGGTTCATTTATGTAATGAGTAGATTATTTACTATTTGTTTTGATCAGACTACTCCTGCTAACGACCTTATAATCCGTACATCCCGCTTCCACCCTGCACGAACCTATTTCACTGCGCATGCGCTTATGAGCGCATCACAGCTGTTGAAACCACTTTTCACCCCAAGCGCTGGGGTGAATTCACTGAGTCGTTTGAACTCCGATTTCGCGGGGTTTTTTTCATCGCGTTATTTTTCAACTTTATAAGATGAATTTGCATTTTTGATGATTTGTATCTGTAAGTCCATACCGAAAGTTGTGTTTTACGTTGCATGTAACCTTTAAGCAAGTACATGTCATGTACAATATCAATGACTCCCCCCTCCCCTTCCCATAATTGTAAGCACATTTTGTTTATATGTATATGCTCAAAATTGATGACACCCCCACCCACCCTACCTCCTGAGAACAAAATGGGTGATCCCCCCCAAGAATCATCATGAAACACACACACACACACACACACACACACACACACACACACACACACACACACACACACACACACACACACACACACACACACACACACACACACACACACACACACACACACACACACACACACACACACACACGATGACCTCATCAACCAACCCTAACTGCTTGTGTAAAATGTTCAACTTCTCCTGCTCTGCACATCCCACTGGCTTCTAGATGTAAGCCCCTGTCATCACATACTTGTACTCAATTTTCTTCTTATTGCTTTTTGTTAATTATATACTGTATACACCCCTGTTTTCTGGTGTCATCCCATTAGTCATACGTCTTAAATAAGCACATGTCATGGTTGATTGCTCTTACATATGAGGGGCGGTGGGGTAGCCTAATGGTTAAAGCGTTCGCTCACATAGGTACAACGTGTGAAGCTCATTTCTGGTGTCCCCCGCCGTGATGTTGCTGGAATATTGCTAAAAGCGGCGTAAAACTAAACTCACTCACTCACTCTTACATATGAACCCTTAGTACCTCTGTAGGTAAATGGAATGACTCATTTGAAACGAAACAAACAGAATTTAGCAAGAGTTTGTTTATTCTTATAACAAGTATAAATATATAAAGCATTTCCTCATTACTTCTGTCACATGTATAAAACATTTCTTCAATACTTTGGTCACATACTCTTTGACATATCATTTCATTAGCTATTTCCGTGAGGCAGTTTAAAACCATGATAAATCCAACAGAAACTGACAACTACTTTGATTTAAATTTTGGGACTAGATTTTGTCAAATCATCCATTGTCGCCTCAAGCTCGGCTGTAGTGATCTGAACGCAGACAGATATAATCGACATATATCAGAAACAGCTAAGTGTTCATGTTGTCATTATAAGGAAGACGTCATTCACTACCTTTTTACATGTCGGAACTATCAAAATTTAAGAACAACGGTGTATTTTTATATTCAAGGATACGATGTGAAAACTACCTTATACGGTAACGGCGCATTGGATAACTCAACAAATTGTGACATTCTAAACTCATTACACCAGTTCATTTCTAAAAGTAATCGCTTCCAGTGATTATCACCTCTACATATACATGTATATTCAATGCAAGACAAGATTTATATAACTTGATTTTCTGCGGCAGCTCTTTTCGCTGCTAGGCACAACCAACACCATAACCAAATATTTATTATTCAATCATTTTTCTGAGTGTAATTTTGTCTCAGTATTATTCTTTTCTTGTCGGACTATTTCAAATATGTATCCAGCTATATTGGAACCGTGTACTGGAGCGGCGTTTATATAAGCCACTAGGCTTGTTCGCCTATCCAGGTTTCTGTATTGATGGAATGAAAATATGTTTAAACCATTAGCGGGCGAGTCTATTGTAACGTAGGGAGCATGACCCTTGTTGTTTTAATTAATCCGGTCCGTTCCGTTATGACTAGTGGCCGTATGAGAACCGGGCGTATGACTTATGGGCTACAACCTGTTTTCTACCTGTTTCATACCTGCTTGACAACGATACAAGAATCTGTATCTAAACGTGGCATCACCGGAATAAAGAAGTTGTTCATCCATAAAGTTTGTCCTTGTCTGCCTCTTCAACTTCTAAAGATGCCGCTCGAAGACATGTAATAAATCTGATCGAAGTAACGCCAATTACCATTGTGTCACGGTCATGTGACATCAGTTTTAAAAACTAATTTGACATCCCGACAAAAGCTTTAAAACAAACCGTAATTAAGCTGATCTGATTATCCTGTCACGGTCACGTGACTACTCCAAAAACTCATTTCAGCTTGTCCAATCAGTTACTATTAGTAAAATTACCTCATCATGTCAACAAACCAACATCGTAATTAAAAGACCTATTAAATGTTTTGGCCAATCGCAAAAGAATTCCAGTATTGATCAGTGATGTTTCGACTATAGAAAGAGGTCAGTGATTTCCTATCAACACACTTGAATTCACAATAAATATTGAAACATCTCCTTGACTGATCAGTGACTTACTGAATTCTCTATTCTGTTTTAAGGTAAGTTCTTTTTGTACAACTCTATTAATTATGTCAGATAACGTCATGACTGAAATGTATTATATATGAATAGAAAGTGGCAATATTGGGGACAAGTTATGTAAGTTATTACCGCCCGCTCCCATCGGAAACATAAACAGTAAAGAATGGACGCAATGAATGGACATAACAACATTATACAAATTATAGCATTAATCGAAGCGCTTACTTCGTACAATGTATTTATGCACATGACTAAAGATATTTTCATGAATAGTATTTGGAAGAGCAGGGTTGCCGTACAGAATGGTATCAATGTCTAAGTGAACTTTTGATAGTTCAACGTCAGCTGACAAAGTTTGGACATTTTAAAGAAACGGTTAGCATCTTCCACCGGAGCAACAAAATTGCAAGCTTTACTGTCTGATATGCACAATATCTCTGTCGTTAATGAATATGTAAGTGAATTAGATGTGCTGTCACGGTTAGTTGTTCCTAGATTGCACTCATTAATGGACACATTAGATGTAGTTTACATCACTAATAGGCTGATAGTGAACTAAAATAAATACATGTAATTGGTCCAATGGCAAATATCATTTATATATGATTTATATGACGATAGTTGAGGTATAATTGAGATATGTGTTACATGTCATTTGTGTGAATGGTTCCCGACTATGATTATTATATGATGTTAGGTTCAAAGGAGAAACATTATATTTGTTCTGCATACAAGCTCTACCATTTGAAATGCTAATTCCCCATCAAAATGTGCATATAAGGTTATAGTTTGAAGATTTGTTATGTGTGTAATATATATTTGTGTATAACACACTTGACCTCACAATGAATACTGAAACATCTCCTTGACTGATCAGTTACGTACGGAATTCTCCATTGTATTTTAGGATTAGAAATTGTTATCCCATAACAACCCCGGAAACAGTATCCCAAATACATAGATCGATGATGTCAGTCACTTGATTATCTGCACCAGATTCGATTATTTCCATATCAATGTCATAATGCCTAGGCGTTAAAGCACACGAGCACGCGCACATACACATGCAGCATTCAGCAATTCATCTAGAACAAGAAAACAGGAAATCGTTAAAGTTAAGCTGCTATATAAGGTCATCCGTACTTTATGTTTCCCATCTACAACTTTAACAA